CGTTTGGCCACCCACTTTCCGTGAACAAGTGTCCGTCAGCATTCTTGGAGTTCTCGTAGTAACCCATGAGTGGACGATTATTCCAATCGACGTTATACCACGAGCTATTCAAGTTCGCACGTTGGTCGGCCAAAGTAGACGGAGTGAATGTGTCATCAGAAAGATTACCCTGCAACACATCGCTGAGCAATTGCCCAGACTGAGGAAGTTGATTCGGAGACAGGTTCGGAGCTGGAGCGTCTGGATCGGTGATAGATGAAGCAGCATGTACGTTGAAAGTGAACATAGTTATCGCTGCACTAGTTGTAGTAGCTGTTGTTTCGAGGAACTTCTCTAGTGTGCCGGTAAGTAAGTCTAGCGTCATCAGAGATGTGCAATTGTAACTCCCGATTTGCAAAAGCGGCGGTCCATTGGGGGTTGGGAAATCGATTATGGTTGGTGTTGCTGCACTCGTTGAAGCTGAGGAAGTTGACGATGCGACCGAGGACACGACTGCTATCGAACTCGACGATAGGTCTGCAGACACCGAAGCCGATGTGGATGTCTGTTGACGCTTTTTTGCCTTGCCTGGAGGATCGAATGTAGACAGCGGGATCTCCGCACTCATACTATCACTTGATGGCGCTATTGTCGGCCCAGTCGCCACAGGCAGATTTCCTTCAGCCGATGTGTCTTCATTCGACTGAGGCAGCTCAACTGGGCACAAACTCCATACTGAACGCAGCGGATCCCAATACGTATCGACTGTGAATTTCCGGACGCCGACAGCCAACAAATTTGAAAAGCATTTTTGGAAAGCATTATGTTCGTACTGGTTTTGCGCAAAACACGCCTGTGCCAGCGATACGGCTGGAACAGTCTGAAAGTTGATCGGTACACGGAGTCCGATATCTCGTTGTGCCTACGACCGGTCAGCAAGGCATTCTCTAACATCTGCGTACTTCCAGAATAATAGCGCATTGACCCTGTGAAACCCAACACCTAGGACACTTCTCGCCGGACACTCTACACAACACGTACAGCTGACACTTACTCTAAACGCCTCGGTCCAGGGCTCTATCCAACGCGTGTTTACAGCACTCTGGTCCGGGTTATACAACCCGTTAGCCGACATTCCCGCTGTTGGACCCAAACATCAGCAACCGCGAAAACGTGGCACACACCTCGCGTGCAACAGAAGGGCAAAGACGGCACCAGGAAGCAGGGGAACACGACAAGATATGTTTAGAAACAATATGCAACGGGGTATATTCGTATATGCAGATGCAGGTGTTGATGATGGATAGGATGATGTCGTTGACGATCTACAGGGCTGCAAGGCGCGACGGAGGTGCGACGTCACGTGGTACGGTGCTAGTTTTCCCACCACTCCCGTTGCGGTTAAAGCACGACTGGCCAATGATGACGATTTGCATCACCAAGCTCACCGTTCAAAACACCATGTCTGCAATTTGGAAAGCGACGATTCCAGCAAAACGTCCGATGGCTTGCATCTTGATTAGGTAGCGGAATGCGTGTGGAACGCATGGAACGTGTGTGGTGTCATCATTTACCCATGATATAATCTAGGAAGTCGCACATATTAATCCCAAGGATTCGAAGGAACGTTGTGCGTACAAGCCTCGCACATACACTTAACACAGCCGTTATTACTGGGCTTGCGCAATACCGAGCCCGCGTTGCTGGCAACTCGCTACCTACAGTCCGTAAGCGAGAGCTCGTGTCTCACCGTTTCGTGCGACCTTGATCGACGTCAGAAAACTTTTCTCAGGGAGTTTGCTGGCTGGGTAAGATGCAGGTCAGCAGCGGGCGGGCGGGCTGCTGGGAACTGCATTGAGGGCGCATTGAAGTTTGCGAAAAGCTTGCGTACGGTCTTTAGGGACAATGCAGGTATGTGGCGCACGCATGGACTTGCTGACTGCCGCTTACTGTGTACAGTGCGGATTGCCACGACTACAGTCGACGGAGAAAAATGACCGCTGCAGGAGTACTGCTTCTACGACCCGTTTTTTCGCGGGATGTCTCCTGGCTACGGATGCAACGTTGCTATTGAGGTAAAAGGTCCGCTAGCTACAAGCGGTCGAGTCAACGTCGCCCACGGTAGAGCCGAGAGAGCCGGAGCTGTAACCCCGACAATCTTGCGTAGTTCAAAGCGAATGCGATGAAGAAAGGGCCTAAATCTGGGTAGCGATGAGAGCAGTCAAATGGAGGTTGCTGGTACTGCAAATGCACTCATCGGGAAGAGAAGGGTAACCTAATCGATCACAGGGCTACAACGAACACGCTTATGAACTTTCTACTCGATATAGCAAAGAACCCCTTGCAGCACAGAAATGGGTCTATTTGAAGAGGTGTGCACACCACACTCAAGGCGGCAGTAACTCCGCACTGTTGATACTTTCGTCGACAGTCGCCGACGCCGTGACACGCCCCAATATCGGCAGAAGCAGAAACAACGGCTCCAGACGTTGAAGTACGTATGTCCGGCCGTCCGGGGAGATATCCACTGTTGTTTGACATGTAACGTCCTCATTGCGTACGCACAAACGAACGAAGTTTCGCATGATGGCACTGTCCCCACACGACTGTTGACGCAACCGCCCCATGCGCGTTTCACCGAGGGCACCAGCACGTTACCGAGCGTGCCGAGCTTCTCAAAGTCTGGGTGCGAGGGTCTTGGTCTGACACCCGTCTGACAGTCCTGCATACCCCTACATCTGTAGTGCAGTTGTGAAGACGACGTGTTTCGCGCATAACTACTACCTCGGATTTGGACATGCAATCCCAGACATGATAAAAAAGGTTTCACCATCGAAGCTGCATGCACATGTCATGAGTTCGACCGAGTGCATAGCCTCGCCACGAGCCACAGGTTGCGGAGAAGGTCCGGCGAGATCTGCGCTAGAAGAAGACGTTGTGATGCCTGTGCCGATCGAAAGGAGCACGACATTGGCACATGGTGACGAAGGGCTCGATGTGATCCTCGTTTGACGATAATCGTACCATATTGGAAAAAGAGACCACAGCCACAAGACCGAGATGCGCCGGATCAACGGACCCGCAACCTTCAACGTTCAACGGCAAATGGCGATGTGCACTCGTCTACTCGCCCTCCAGTTGCAAATCCGATGTTCCACAATACCGCCGTCCATGGTACCATTGAAAGTCGTATTGAAACGGGCTGAAGACTTGAAAGAGATCGCGACCCGAGAGACTGGAAACTGAAATACCTTATGCTCAGGACGGCGACCTTCGATCAACGCCTCTGCGACGGCGTGTTGCTTAGCAGCAGAGGGAAGGGCGGTAGACCATGGGAATGAACGGCGACATCCTCTTGACGGCGTGGGCCCAGTACCAAAGTCCTCGTGGGCGCTATGGTTTAGTGTGTGAATGTCCGCATTAGGGTACCAGACTTCCTTACTATGCCATATGCACAAAATGCGCGTGTCTTCCCAACGCTTCCAGCACGATTGTGGACATGGAGATATACGCTAGTCGCAAATCTCGCGAGCCGTCGCGCGCTAAGGCGTAGATCAAAGTCTAATTCCCGTAAGCGGTAAAGCCACTAGTAGCCGCATGATCGAGCCCTGGAGGACCCAGTGTCTTGTTTTCTTACTAGCAATGGCAGGTAGGAATGATGGTGGCCTTCTAGTCGCCGACCCTTGCTGTAGTGAATTAGGCCGAGTGGGACGTTGACGTGGACGATTCGAACGATCACACGGGAGGGGGGGACGTTGAATCGTAAATTACAATGAAGCGATTTGCTCGGATGCGCGGTTGACGAAAACGAGGGCGGATGTGCCGCACCGGACGACGGTACAGAGAGCAATGATTCGTGAAGCTCGTTGGAATGAGGGGATCCTAGTGCGTGTACCTGTGCGTACAAACAGGAGGTGCGTGGATAGTTCGTAATTTCCACAGTCGCTATTCCAGTGCGGTGTAGGGGAGGTCTTGCGATACTATTGACTTCGTGTCGACTTGCTCTCTGATCTTTCCAGGGACTCCCTGGAGATGGTCTATCAGAAGAAGTGCCGAAGCATACCTCGATGTCGCAGGACTCACGGTGACAGAATCTTGCTGAGCGGTCCAGAGCCCCACCTCGGCCACTATTGGTGGCAGTGTACGGAAAAGGAGTAACCAATCAATCATTTTAGAGGAAAAGTATTGTCCGTCAGCCGGGCGCGTTCAGTCCAATGAAAAAGTAGTATAGGCGACACTGCAGGTGTTGCGACGGGTACGACTGCGTGGGCTGATCGGTGATTGTGGCGAGATCGCCCCATGCGTACGTTGAGGTGTGGATGGAGAAATCGTGGTAGTGGGTACCTCAGACGTTTGTGAGTATCTGTCATGCGGTGGGTTCCACAACCGGTTGAGGTGCCATTGGAGCGGTGAGCTCACGCCGCCCTGGAACGTTTGAAAGCCTGGAACTTAGTGTTTGTCGATCGATATTCGCGGTGGGAACTCCTTGTTCTGTTCGTCAGTCACTTGAACATGTGAACTTGGTACTCGGTATCACTAGTTGGTCTTGTGAGGAATGGAAACTGCTGTAAGGGGTGCATATGTTGTAATATTGATTGTATTTGATTGGCATCGCTAGAGGACGCTTGCAAGTGCTGTTGCACTGCTGGGTATTATTACTGGCAACGAAATTGTCGCAGTGTATAGCAAGGCCTGCTTGAGGGCCGAATAGAGAAACGCCGTGATGTGTCGAATTTCGACGTGCTTGATGCTACATGGCTAAGACGAGCCTAAATAGAACCAGACTGATGTGCCTCCCAAACCGTTGCACGTGAATAGAGATGCGACATGGGGTATCCTGAAAGTCGTATACGATGTGTCCCTTTTTAGTTCCATGCAAAACAAACGACAAGGTTGAAGAACTCTGTAACAAACAAAGTGTCGATCATTGAATATCGGCCATTAATAGAAGTAGGTGGTTTGAAACGTGCGACGTATAGACAAGAAGGGGTATGTTGGACAAAGTGAAACATGATAGACAACTACATGATGTTTCGCAGGGACATCCTGTCTTTGGGTGAGACGGGTGCACTCCGGGCCTCTGACGGTACCGAAGGGAGCACGTAGGGTGACGGGAGTTGTCGCGCAGCTGGGCTAGTTGTTGCACTCGAAGACTGCGGCACCGGGAGCGTTGGCTCGGCGAGAGAGTGGAAAGGAGGAAGTGCCCGTTGTGGAACACTTGTTGGCGCAGACTGAGGCATAGAGTGGTGGTGTGTGAGCTGAGGTGTGGGTTGAGTGAGGAGTCTTGGTGGTTGTGGTCGCTCGTAGTTTGGCTCGCGGAACGCAGGCGAAGGCTTGGGTGCTGAAGCATCACTGCGGTGTAGAGGAGGGAGTTGTAGTGAGCCTCGTCGCCTGTAGACATCGTAGGAAGAGTCGTCTTCGGGCGCAAAGCCAGTTGTGGGTAGATATCGGGTAGAAGAGCTCTTGCGTTCCTCCCGACTGCCGACTAATGGAGCGAGTGTGATGTCAAGTGGTGAAGCTGCACCACGTGGTGAGCGAGACTCTGAGCCAGTGTCTGTGATGAGAGAAGGTGCGCCATCGGCTGACACGATGGAGTAGCCAGAAGGAGAAGGCATGGGCGTCTCGAATCCCCGTGCTCGTACGGTAGCGTGCGATCCATAGGCTGAGATGTCAAGAGGCTGAGGTCGTGATCCGGAGAAGGGTTCGAAACGCTGGGGCTGAGGCAGCTTCATGACGTGGGGAGAGTTCATTGAGGTGTTGAGTGATGGTCGGTGTGATTCGTGGTATGAGGCCATGCGGTGCTCTTCGTGGTGGGGCTGGCCATGGGGAGCTGGGTAGTGGTAACCAGTCTGCGGGTGGTGCATGTGCTCTCGGGGTCTCTGATCAGGGCGCTCAGGGTTGCGCTTGCGGCGGTTCTGGCCGCCATTCCACCAGTTCTTCACAGCGTTGTCGCTGCGTCCTTTTAATCTGCGTGCAATCTCTGCCCACCTCTTGCCCATCTCAGCAACCATCTTCTCAATCAGCTCCCCCTCTTCTCCAGTAATTGGATCATGGTTCAAGGATGGCTTAAGATTTTGGTGGTAACGCTCTCTGCATTGTTTTGGTGACCGGGAGCCGATCTCTTGTGAGATGCGTACCCAGTTGTGAGGTCCATTGCGAGCGACGAGGTTGACGAGCCACTGATCCTCGTGCTGCGACCATGGGCCGCGTCTGTGGGCAACCATGATGAAATCTTCAGGTGGAATTGGTAATCTGTCACAGTCCGTAAAACTATCGAGACGTTCAGAAGAGTCTCTGCTTGAGTCGAGCTTGTGTGAAATGTGTTGATGTTCTGGATGGAGGGTCAGTCCTGAATGGGTCCAAACACTGTGGGAAGTAGGCAGATTGGACGGATGTGAAACCACAACCATATCGAATGTGTCGAAGTTGAGAATGTGTGAATGGAGGGAAGTGGATCAGGAAGCTGGTGTATCCCAACAGGCCGTGATGTTGGTAGACAAAATGCAGGAGGGGCAGTTGGTGACCAACGACGACGACGGGAAAGGAGAATTAAACATACCGTATTGTTAGGTTTAGAAGCACAGAGTCAAGTGTCAGTGTCGATTGTAGTATGGTAGAGGCGAAGTCGAACGGTGGTTGACGTTGGTAGACGAGCCAACGGTAACGTGGTAGAGGCGAGCACCGGTATATATCACGACGGGCGCGGGGAGGAGTAGTCAGGACACTTGGACGCCAAGGTGGTCGAGGAGCTATTGACTTGTTCGGGACGGGCAGATGTGTGCGAGGATTCTGCTTTTCAGACGATGCGGCTAAGGCACTGGTGAGATGGTGGACGGAGAGCGCTGGGGCGTCATGCGGCGCTCAGAGCGACTAGCTGGGCCCTGAGCAGCAAAGGGCTAAAGTAATCGTTGTCGACGACGCACACAAGCAGCGATGGACCTGGTTAGGTGCCAGATCGTCGGATTCGACAAGTACCCTGTATCACATCGTGGCATGGCGTATGGCGCTCGCCCGGCGCCGACTTGGGACGGCAGAAAAAGCAAGCGCAGCGCCTTGCTCGCATTACCACCCTGGAAACAAGCGTAGTGAATTGCTCCCCCTGCAACGCTTCCTGGCCGCCGACAGCGCGCTCGTCCCCGCCGGCGGCCCACCGCTCGCGCAGGATGGATGCACTCGCTAGGGCCCCTGGCCGTTTCGTTGTCGATTCATGATGGTGCACGCTAGCAGCAAGGCCGGTGGGATTTTGAAGACACCATGGAGACAGTCAATGATACCCCCACTCGGCGCGATACTTGCACTCCCCTGCCCACAGTAAAACCAAACATGTAGATGGCCGTAAGGTTGAGTAGCAGCCTCAGCCAGCCAGCCTCAGCGGCATCCAGGATGTTCCAGTGGACTCGGCCTCGTCCCCATCGTGACCGTGACAAGCTCTGTGTTCCGTCACCCTGGTCCAGGAAGGCCGGGCATGCGTCTTGGGCTCTGCAGCGCATTTATGGCCTTGCCCTGAGAAGTGATTGATATGGCCCTGGTGTAGTCCATTCTTACAGTGTCGAGAGGACATCTTGCCCACTTGTCTCCCCCATGGCAGGCGTGTCTGAACTGGTGTTTCCAGTAGTAATGCAATCCACCCAGAGACAGCCCTCTCCAGCGCCGCACGATGCACGTTGCAGTCAGCACTTGGGCGTCGATCAAACGGGTGCTGGTGCTGATTGCGGACCGGGCGCGAGTAGTGCGATCGTCACGGCCCTCACATTGGAGGACACGAGGTCGGCGAGGTGAGCTTGGCGTCCTTACCTCTCCTTTTCGGGCCTGTCGTTCTCCCGAGGCTAGCGCGGTGCACTCACATCGAACTGACGGTGTTTCTGCTGTTCTATTTTCTGGCGAGTGCGACACACGACCTGTTTGCTGAGGCGTGCTGTCTCGCTGTGTGTGCTGGGGAGGTGACTGTGAAGGTGTCGAGCTGGCGGCCGTTGGTGGGCTGAAGACTGATCTGCCGGCGGGCCAGTAGCGAGAAGTAGCGAGACCGCTCGACTGGAAAGTGCGCACCAGTGAGCGCCTGCCATGGCATTTGGAATATCGCTAGTGCACCAGTCGCGCCTGCCTTCCAGCCCTTTTCGGCAGGCTCGGAGAGCAGTCGCGCACCTTTTGGGAAAGACAAAACCGTTGATTGCCAAAACATATCGTCACTCACGTCTGCACGCTTTCCTCGCCGAAGTCACTCGTTAGGGCGATCGTATGCTGAAGCGGGTATCTTGGTTACCGTGACGCTATCATCTCGATCGTCCTGCATACTTGCAACGGGAGCCTCTACAATGACCGAGTGAGGCTGCCTTCGCCCAACTTTCTCCATTTATGCCCCCCAGCCCGACGTCGACCTATTACGCCATTGGTGGGGACGCTGTACGTCTGTCTACTCAATCTGATACTGCCAGAGAGGCCTATATCACGAGCGACCCATGTCGGCGGTGCGCAAATATAGACGGCCTCGTCCAGACTGCTGCATACCCCACGCGACATGGTTCCAGCTCTGTTCCCTCGAGCAGAACATGGGCTTCACCCATTTGCATTCGGATTGCCCGAGGTATCGCCATTCCCTGTTGCGCAAGCTTGCGGCGCAGGCTGTGGCTGAAGCATCAGATCCGGGGCTATTGGGGCTATCCTTCTCTGTCCCTAGCGCGTCCCAGTCGTCGGGCTAGCGTTACGGGACGCACAGCATCCGGCCGAGTGGGTGCTTTGTTTCGCTGAGCCTCAGCCGCTTTCTGCTGCACACGCACTCAAATGCAGCGACCTCGCCGTCCTTCCGACGTCTTCATCTGCGCGGCCTGGCCTGGTCATCCATACCTTCGCTAGAAATCGCTTGCAGAGCTCAACGGTCGCCGTCGCCGATCCCTTCCGAGCCCGCAATCTCGACGAACGAATGACAATTCCAAGGGTTGCAAATCTGCTACATGCGCACCCAAACTCGTGGCACGTCGCTGATTCAGTACCCTGGTAATGGTAAGGGTCAAGTTGCGATCGCGGAAACAAACTCTCGCCAAACATGCACGCCTGAACGTCGCGTTCGGATTCGCGCAACGGCTGTTCGTCTGTCGGCGTACTGGTGGAGACTTGCCTGTGCCCTTGAGTCGTCAAGTCGCCAAACCATGTACCACCGAATGTCATCCAAGACCCTCAACCCCCTTCTGTTCCTCGGAGCACCGCGCGGGGTCTTCCGCTTGGTCGACGATTTTTGAAATCCTTGTCTGCCCTCTATTACGATTGGCTGCTTCGTACGTCAGCCGCAGCTACACTCTCGACCATCCTGAACCATGCCGCGCGCACTATCCCGCCCTGTGGGACCAACGGTGGTTCCAACAATCAGATGTGGCTCATGCTGTGCCAATTACAATGTTTGACCCAGACAATTTGCAAATGGAGCATCGTGTTACAGCTACCACGCTCTCGTGCCACGTCTTCCATATGCCTCTGTCCGAACATGTTCGGGCCTTGACCTAAACTCATGTCGAGACTGCACTTCTTCCCGACGCCAGATTACACTCTATGTAACAACGGCATGCTTCCGCACTACATTACCCGCACCTTGCGAGTCGCGGAATATTGGCTTTCGTCGGCGAAAACTCCCCAGCAAGGTCTGCCCTCTCTCTTGGCCTACACAAAGAGAGGATATGCGCGGGTGGAAGGGGATGGGCGATCCACGGATTGGCAAAAATCTCACAGCATGTTCCCTGTAGGTGTTCCCCACGCCTCACAGCATACGCTCTCGTCATGCACATGATATGCACATCACGGCAACCATGACCGATGTTGACCAAGTTACTCTTCTGAAGTCTTGCCGATAATGGTTCTGGAGTCACGCTTGTAGCCTTCTGTAGCTGACTGCCCCACTCCCAATATTGTATCTATACCTACAAATCGTCATTGACGGCACGTTTCTACCAGGGTCTGCGGATACGCATACTGCCGTGAACAACTCTTCGGCGAGGAAGGGGTATGAGATGAGGCCTGTCTGGATTTGCATTTCCTCAAATAACTCCCCATACGTAAAGACAGGGATACCCAGCCACGATCTTCTAGATCAGAGATTGACGAGTGATCTACGCCCGGCCAATAGGCAGTGCCAGCCGCTGCCTCAATCTTCCTGAAACCCATTCTCCATCTTTGAAAGCTTTTTTTGTTATTCCTACGTGTCCTACTCCTATCAACTGGGTTCGCTATTGGTGGTGGCGCCTCCCAATCCAATCTGCGGTTGACGAAACGTTTACCCATCGAGGTTTGGAGCTTACAGTTTTTTGACAGCGGCACACCAGCGGCCAAACTCATTCGACCTGTCCACGCAGTGGCCCGCACCAGCCTCATTATTCCAGGCATCCACGCACGCGTGGCAGCACTGTTCAGCAACTGGTCTAGATGCGATCTTCAACTCCATACCTCAACTGCACTCATGCTTCAGACATGTCCGGGGTGATACCACAGTGCAGTACACTGCATTCCTTCGCGCAGAAATTCACATAGCAAAGCGTTGTTGCTGACTCGTCATCGACCCCATCTGCGTACGTTAGCGCGCTGCTGCGGCGCATCCTCCTCACTGGTCCAAAGCAAGATGCGGCACCAGCGAGGGAAGGCCGTTTAGCTCAGATCTGAGCGCCCGCCGAATCGGATCGACACGCCCCACCAAAACCCCTTTCCTCCCTCGCTCAGAGGGCTGCAAAAGTAACAAAAGTTATAATGCGGTCAGCAAATGCTATCCGAAATCAGCAGCCAAGATTGTTGGCATCCCATACGACTCGTCGCTCGGCCCATGCCGACCTAGCCCATGTTGTTCTTGGTCAACATTTCGATGATTCGCCGGGATTATGCGTTACCTGCATCACCCGCCCATACGGAAAATAGCACCCAACGGATGATCTTCTGTTTCGGAATTTCACCGTCCTTCAAAACGTTAATGGCGTTGATCACGATGACACCTCGCCAAGCCCTATGGTGATAGTCAATAGACCAAGTGCGGGTGACCTCGCCGAAATACTAGCAATTGGTTTTGACCGCAGAATCAGGTTCCAACAGCTTGTGCTAGGGAGGGTAGGCCGACCGTGACGCTTGATTCAATGGTTACTGAACTCATAAGTCCCCGATGCCGTGTGCGGTTACGGTCGTCGGACATCCGCATCAAGACCGTCTCCCGCACTACATGTAGCGCGCCAACAATTCATCACCAAAGTCCATGCAA